GGAGCCCGGCTTTGGGCCCGGGTCGAAGCAGCCCGGGGGCTGCCCCCGCCGCGGGGAGGAGGCGCGCTGCCAGGCTGGGACGTGGCCCGGTGCCATGTCCCAGCCCCGCTGTCGCAGCTGTGCCAGGGGAAGGGGGCTCCCCGCCTGCGCCAGAGTAGCTAGGGTCTTCCTGCTCACTCGCGCACACACCAGAAGTTTTGGAGGGCTTGACTCCTGCCCACGCTGGCAGTAGTAGCCTTCCTGGTCCCTTTGTGGCAAGGTGGGGACTAGATTTCAAGTGGACGGGGATTTCGGCCCCTGATGCCTATAAGGAACCAGGGGTGCAGCTCACTTTTTTTTTTTTTTTTGGTTTTGCTCCTTGCAAGATGCGTGTCAAATGCTACCGAATCAAAATGGTCGTTTACGCTCTGTTGGGAACCATGATGCAACGCTCAGGGCAGTGGTGCATCAGGCATGACAGCGGGGGAGATGGGATTCTGCTCAGAAAACTGTAAGGCTTTTTGTTTGTGCGTTCAAAGTTTACAACAACAAAAGGTAGACGAGAAAGGTTGATAATTTATATTCCCCATGGCCTGGCAACAGCTTAAAGCTTGCTTTGACTTTGTTTAACTTGCTTTGAGCAACGTGCTAACAGCATTGAAACAAGTCAGAAGTTTGAAAACAACTTATACCCGAGTCTCTCGCAGAGAATTCAGTAAGGTCGAAGTAGGTGTGTTTCTGCTGAAGTATCTTAATGGGAACTGTTTACTCTCGACAGGCCAGCACTGATGCAGGTTCAGCCGGAGCCTTGACTCCTCAGCATGTCCGAGCTCATTCGTCTCCAGCTTCGCTGCAGCTGGGAGCTGTCTCTCCGGGGACCCTTACCCCCTCTGGAGTAGTGACTGGTCCTGGACCTGCCTCATCTTCTCAACATCTCCGTCAGTCCTCATTTGAGATCCCCGATGATGTTCCTCTGCCACCAGGTTGGGAAATGGCTAAGACACCATCTGGCCAGAGATACTTTCTTAAGTAAGTAAAATAGAGTTATAAAAAAAAAAGGTTACATTTTTTAACGAAGCTCACTTTCCATGTTTAAGAACCTTTGTGTATATAAGAATATGTGCCCCTTTAATATATCAAATACATTTAAAAACTATGGGTCATGATTTTCAGTAGTATAACTCTTTATCTGATTTGAACTGGGGGTGTAGAAGTTGAACCCTGAAAGTTATGCCTAGGTGTGAGAAACATGCCTCATTCTTGGCATGTCTCATCTTGGATTAGTTATTTTTGGGTGTGTTTTTAAGTCTGTTGTAACATATAGTAACTTTAAATTAATACTTGGAGTACAATAAAGCAAGGTCATTTAAAGGTGTACTTTGGGTCAGTATTTGGAAAATTGCTGAAAATGGATATCAAAGATTAAGAAACTTTCAGCAGTATTGCAGTGAGAATACTGGATGACTGCTGATTACTTTTTTTTTTTCTTTGGAAGTACAGTGTCAGGTTCCTATGAAGTCTTATTGGTACATGAACCTGATAGGGCCTGTAGTTCTTAAAACTAACTTTGGAATGAAAGGTGAATGTTGGAACTCTTAAAAATGTTTCTTGTTTTCACTACTTTGGCTTTTTAAAGTAGTGAAATTAATATAACTTTTTCTCTTGCTGAAGAGGTTACACATGCCAGCACTCTGACATGTCATCCATCAGGAGATGCTCTGTAGAGTTTTCTAAAACAGCAGAAGCCTGTCCTCCTTTTTGGAAGTGTGTGTGCACAACTCTCATTCAATCACTAGGTTTCAAGTAACATATTATTTGTCACTTCAGATTTGAAGGGACGGAACCACTAGCATTAAAAAAAAATTATATTCTTACTACCTTGCTAGTCTAAAAAGTGTTCTAAACTTTTTTGTGGTTCCCTTTGCTGAAATAAAATATCCAAGCCTGAAATTATATTCGCAGAAGACCTTAATATCTGTGGCTGGGACATGCTTTCCATGTAACTGCACTATGGCTCAGAATGAAATAGGGACCTAATTCAATGCCCATGGAAGCCCCCTTGAAGATTTACCATTGTTTTCTATGAAGCACAAAGTTTGTTCTTATGAAATATTTTGCCTAATTTCACTGTTAGAATTAGGCAGTTTTATGCCAGCTGAGAATGTGACCCACTGGACCTTGAAGAGCAAAACATAGTTTTCATATAATTCCAAAACTTGTATATTATGCTCGTTATACTCTTAACTAGCTTAAATAGAACACAACAAAGATGGTATTTAAAAAAAAAAAAAAAAAAAGCTCTATCTGTAGTGCTAATTATTATTTGCATTTACATCAATGCTTTAAATTTTATAGAGGGAGCATTACAGTTGTTGTGGTAGACGAAAAGAAATCCTTGCACTCCTATAATTGATTCTTTAATTATGCTCATTTAGGTGAAAGCAGAGGGAAGGATTTGATCTTGGAAAGCTTTTCTACAGTTTCGCTATTATTACAGAAAATCTTCCTTTTTTCCTGCAAGTTTTCTTTTTTGTCTGTCTTGGTGTCTTGGTATCCATTTCAAAGAGTCAGGTTTCAGCAAGAACAATAAAGAGCCTGAGACTGGAAAGTACACACAAGTCTGGCAAACTCATCTGCATGAGCAAGATCGTTTGTTCTCAAGCAGACATCCAAAGTAAATGATTGAAAGAGCTGCTAGCTGTGAAGGATGCGTCTTGAAGGGGAAAAGAGTGGAAACAAACCAGGTTGTTAGGAAGAAAAATAAAGGCTGTACTTTTTGAACCTCTCCCTGCTGGGTCACATGCTGACCTTGGGAGATCTTAAACCGCTTAATAGGCTGTTTTCTTTTTGCTTTCCTTGGGTGATGCTGTGGTTTGGGAGAGTCTGAGGACAGTTTTAAAGGCTCTGTTCACGCTTAGAAGAACTATTTCCCTCCCCTCCCCCTAATAGAGCCTAAAATACCATCTACAAGTGGAATCTGCTAGCCTTGTTGCAGTTCAGAAGTATTTCTATTAACTTTATAACTTTGCTTCCTAAATTTGGAAAGCTCCAAGAGCTTGTAAAGAATTTCTTTTAACAAAGCAGTTCTGTATTTCAGAAATTGCTTAAAACTCTTGCTTCCTATGATTAAAAATAAAATGTGTGTTTAGCACATATATATGCTTTTTTTTGTTTGTTTTGAGCTTAATTTTAATGAAGTAAATACTTTAGATTTCTGCTGCTGAGCACATTTTGCTTCTAAAAAACTGGTTCCCTCTGCATGGTGTTTGCTCCACATCCAAGTATTTAGCTTCTTCATTGGATTGGCAGTGGTGCTTTTTGTTTCCATTTCCTCATTCATTAGAAACTCCTAGAGACCAGACAAGACCAGGCTTTTCAAGAAATACCTTTCTAAAGAATAGGTGAAAATATTAGGTGTGTGTTTTCCAGTTGTGAAGATCTTTCCAATTATCACTTTTCCCTATGATGCCTGGCTATCGCAGTACTCTGCACTATAGCCAGTTAAATCCAGTACGGAAATTTCCACAGGGGAATCAAGAACTACAAATACAGCAGCTATCACTGTGGAGAGGCAGGTGAGAAGAAGTTTGAAGCAGCCAAATGTCTTGTTTGACCACACATTAATATAATACCACTAAATAGCATTCTGGGTGAACCAGTTTTTGAAATCCCAGCATCTGTCTAGTCAGACTTGTAATAGTCTGTTTTAGCATGATAAATCTATATATGGACAAATTTAAATTTCTGACCAATACTTGATTGGCCAGTGTTTCATCACTATTAATGAGTTAATATTCATAGTACTTTCAAAACTAGGAGTTTTTTTGAATGTGTCTTTTCTTCAGTGTAATATATTCCTGTTACGGTTAGTAGAATTCCCTACTTTGTTAAAAGTTGCTAACTTCAGTGAAATTGTAACCGGAACTCAGCAGTTATAATAATAAGAATAATAATAGCCTAGTCTGGTTAGTCAGGAGGTGGAATTTAGTCAGCTTCATGCTATTATACACAAGAACTTAGACGGTTCTTAAACGTACAATAAAGATGGCAGTATTGGTCAGTGGGGAGATGTCAGCTTCATTGTTTTTGAACCACTTCCTGTTATCCGGCTATAAATTGACATTTCAATTAACCGTGAAGAAAGATCTACAAAATCATTCTGTGCGCTAGAGAGACTATATGGTAGTTCAGGATCAGCCACTTGGAAAAGGGAAGAACCGTATGTTATACATGTGATACATGTATTTTATAATCATTATTTATATCATTTTAACTTGTATAACACAGTACATGCAATTCTTGCAAAAAAGATACAGTAGTCTGTCGTCTTTTCTAGTATGAGGAAGCAGTTACTGTTCACCCCAGCTGTCTTGGTTTCTCCTGTAGGAAGCTGTTCTGTCGAGTAGTTTATCAACAACTTCCTATTTTTTCTGTGAAGTGTTGTATGACTTCCTGAATGAGGCCAACCTGGCTTTCATGGTATCTGTTCATGTGTTTGGGGCTTTACCTTATCCATCTAACAGAGATCTTACAAGTGGGCTATTGCTAGGTGAACATACAACCTTTATGGGCTCCATAGAGAATTTTGTAAATAACATTCTCTGTTTTGGAACCAAAGACCTTTCAAACAACACTGTGGCTTGTAATTTCACTCTCCTCTGTGACTTGAAACATGCAAGGTAAAGGTACTGTTTTGGATGTGAAAAGTGATCAATAATGTTGCTACATTTCACTCCCATTAATCCTCACTCTTTCTACAAGATGGCACTCAGAATTGATTCTAGTCTTTTGGGACAGAAAATCCTTATTTGATATAGTTGATACAGGCAACCCCCACTTAACGCGCTTAATTGGTTCCGGAAAAACCAAGCATTAAGCAGAACCACTCTAAGTGAATCCCATTTCCCCATAGGAATGAATGTAAACAGAGATAATTAGTTACCGCCACTTCTTGCTGCAGCTTCTCTCCATCGCCGCCTCTTCCCACCCCTCTCTGCCTGTTGGCCTCTCCAGCCCCGTGCCAGCCCACATGTGCCAGCCCTGCACTTCTGCTGCTCCACCCTGGGCACTGGCGGAGGCCCCACACTCACGCCTGCCCCCCAACCCACTCGCTGCTTCTCGCTGCTGCTGCTTCCCTCTGTCCACCAGCCAGTCCAGCACTGTGCGCCAGCATGGGCCCCTGCTCCTGCTGTCCCGCCCTGGGCCCCTGCCGGCCATGGCACTGCGGCAGCAGTGCAGGCTTCGTGCTCGTTCCCGCCCACCCACTCACTACCACTCATCACTTCTTGCCGCCGCCGCTGCTTTGCAGCTGGCTCAGTGCTAAGTGAAATCAGGTATTAATTTTAAATGAGTGCTATAGCAAAATAGTGCTAAGTGAAACCATGTTAAGTGGGGGTTGCCTGTACTAAAATCACATTACATGGGATCTAGTACCTTAATTCATAGGTGAAGTGTGCATATTAAGCAGCATAATTAATGGAGCTTTTCAAGTTCTTAACCCTGCACAGCGTGTAGCCAAATCTTATTCTGGCTGTAAATTAAGTATGCTGTCAGAGACTAAAATTGTAGCTACAGCTTAAAATAGATTTTAGTTACTTCTTGAAGTTGTTGACATTTCTGCTATTTACTTTACATATGCAAAGTACAGAAGAAATAAAGTAATTTTAGGTTTGTAATCTTAACTGCTGACTTCAAAATTTATCTGAGATGAACTGCTGTTCAGTCACTTTGTCAAGATGATGAAAAATGCATTAGTTCATTTCACTTGGATAACTTTAAAGAAACAAACTTCTGTGTTTTAGACTTTTAAAGATTTTAACTCAATGGTTGGACTAATGCTTTGACTTAATGTACAGGCTTTAATGCTGCAAAATTGTTTTGGAAGATGCTGTTGTGGAGAGGACTTCCTTATCTAGAGGAAGGCTAATTCTGCCTGGCATCTGGGAAGTGAGCTGTTCCTCATAAAAGCTTATGCATCTATAAGGTGCAGATGTTCCCTGCTTTCTGTCTGTGCTGAGACTGATCTGGAA